GCCCACGGGGAACAAGACAGTAAGCAGCGCCCTCCATTGTCTCTGCCTCAGCTCCTGCCTTCAGGGTCCTCCTTGACTTCCCTCCACGACAGACTACAAGGCTTTTTCTTTTTGTCTTTTTGGTTTTTTGGGACAGGTTTTCTCTGTGTAACATTTCTGGCTGTCCTGGAACTTGCTCTGTAGACCAGGCTGGCCTGAATTCACAGATTCCAAGTGCTGGGACTAAAGGCATGGGCCACCACTGCTGCCGGTACCATCTGGCTGGACTACGGAGATAAACCCTTTCCTCCCAAGTTGTTGTTGGTCACAGTGCTTACTGCAGTAGTAGAAAGCAAAGTAGGGCAGAGCCCTTGACCAACGCTTCTCAAAACCATTATAGACACACAACATAAGGAAAATTCCGAGAAATTCTCACAGCCGAGAGGCACCTAAAGAACATGCTGACTAAACAAACAGAAAGTGGTGTCCTAGGACACATGTGATTAGGCAAAACTAGACACCTGGGTGGGGAGGTGGTGGTGCTCAGCTTTAATCCCAGCACTGGGGAGGCAGAGGCAGGCAGTTCTTTGAGTTAGAGGCCAGCCTGGTCTACAGACAGAGTTCCAGGACAGCCAGGGCTACATAGGAAAAACATCATATCTCAAAACGAAACAAAAAACCCAAACTAGGAACCTGGAGGAAAAAGTCTGTAAATTAATAGTGGTATTGTGATATGGGATCATCAATAGTTATAGTAATTAATAGTAATAGTAATAGATGTGCCACAGTTAACTATTAGGCATTAACAAGTAGAAGACGGGCTGGGGAATGGCCTGTGTCTTAGTTAGGGTCTCTATCTCTGTGAATTGACAACATCACCAAGACAACTCTTATAAAGGAAAACATTTCATTGAGGTGGTAGTGTATAGTTCCAGAGGTTCAGTTCATTATCATCATGGGACGGAGCATAGTGGCTCGGAGTACAGCAGGGTACAGGCAGACATCTCCATCAAAAGGCGACAGGAAGTGGTCTGTCTCACTGGGCATGGTTTGAGCATAGGAGACCTCAGAGCCCGCCTCCCCAGTGACACACTTCCTCCAACAAGACCACAGCTCCCAACAGTGCCAGTCCCTGAGATTGTGGGGGCCAATTACACTCAAACCCCCACACCCTGAAACACCAGAACTTGAATGGTAGACCCATGTGAAGAGCTGTCACATCTGCAACACAGTGAGGGGGCAGACAGGTAGATTCGACGGCCAGCTAGTCTACCAGGACCCACAAGCTCCAGATTCAGTGAGAGGCCTTGACTTAAAACGTAAGGCAGAAGAGCCAAGAGACGCTCGGGAGTCAGGAGCACTGGCTGTTCTTCCAGAGGACCCGGGTTCAATTCAGTGCACCTGAGTGATGGCTCACAAGCATTTGTAACTCCAGTACCAGGGGCTCTCATGCTCTCTTCTGACCTTCACAGGCACACACGGTGCACAGACAAATATGCAAGCCAAACACCCATGCACATAAAATAGAATTTTAAAAACAATTAGAAACAGCAAGATGGAGAGAGAGCAACTGAGGCCAGCATCAGCCACTGGGCTTCACATGTATGCATACCATGTGCGCACACATGCACGCACGCACTCCCTCTACACACACCCAGAGTAAGAATAATAGCGGAGGGCCACACCTTACGGTGGTTCACAACCTTTTACTTGATGGCAGTGCAAAGGGATGCGATGTCAGAGGAAACCGTATTTCACTTTCTGAACTCCGTGGACTATTAGTGTTCAGTTCAATGCTCTGCGGTGATTCTGGACGGCGGGAGACCTAACTCCCTGTTAGCTGTGCCATCACCACGGGAAATGGCTCTAGTGTTCTGTGGATGACAGGTCTACTAACCGCACCATCCACAAAGGCCGTGTTCCACATAGACATGCTTATTGGAATACAATCCCAGTAAGTGAATGGGTGGCTGCAAAGGGGGCTGTAAATATTCTTCAGCTTTGAAGCTGTTCTGAAAACGAGGTTTCTTAAGCAAATAAACAAAAAGCCAACACCTAATAGTGCAGTCTTAGTCTGACTTGCATCTGTCCCTGGGACACCCAGTTCCCATACCCACCTGCAGGGGTCCTGTATGAGTGCTCGGTGGGACCCTCCCAGAAATTCCTTATGCAAATGTGAGTACATGCTGATTTCCTCCAGGAGCATTTTAATTTGCTTTGAAGGATATTTAATCGCTTAATATACCACGCTAGAAATGTATAAAGAGGGAAGTGGAACTCGCTCCAGCGACTCATCACCTGACACCAGCTGGCCCTTACTGCCTGGCCCTTTTCCTCTGAAGCCAACGGTAGTCTAGGTATTCTAGCCTGCATCTCTGAACAACATGGACATCTTATATAACCCTAATGCCTGCATTATACCATTAATGAGATTCTGGTGGGTCTCTGATGAACTCTGGTGTACATGATTTGAGATATTAAGGGTCTGTGGTGAATTTGTATGTTTGTGTTCCAGGAGCTGTTAGGAATGGTTGGGGCTTGGAGGAAGTTAAAGCCCTGGGGGGGGATTATAAACGTGTTTGTTGGGGTACAAGGAGATGCGGCCTGATGCCTAGTGTGGCCTGTGGAATGGAGAGGAGCTACTGGGCAGCCTGGCTTGGTAAATACTGCCTGGAGGTGATCCTGGAAGGTACAGGGCTGTCACTGCAGAGGCTAGGCAGAGGCCATTTTGTGTCCTCGGGTCCTGTAGGGATTGAGAGATGGCTCAGAGGCTAAGAGTACTTGCTGCTTTTCCAGAAGACCAAAGTTTCCAGTATTCATGTTAGGCAGCTCATAAGCACCTGTCATATTCAGCTCCAGACATCTGAAGCCTTCAAATGCATATATGCATAAATATACACAGACTATATGCATAAATAAAACTTTAGATTTGTCTTTATTTTATACATGTGTTTTGCTGGTATATATGCCTTTGTATCGTGTGTGTGTGCCCACCTGAAGAGGGCAGAAGGGGTATCAATTCATTGTGACTGCAGTTATGGGTGGACATGTGGGTGCTGGAGATCATATCTGGGTCCTTTTTTATTTTATTTTTTCTCAAGATAGGGTTTCTCTGTGTAGCTTTGGCTGTTGTCCTGGAACCTTCTCTGTAGAGCAGGCTGACCATGAACTCATACAGATCCACCTGCCTCTCTGCCTCCCAGGTGCTGGGTATTAAAGACATGTACCACCACTGCCCAGCCACAATTTTTAAAAGTCAGACCTTGTGATCAAGGTCCTTTTAGGACAGTGGGTGACATTTCCCTGGGCCTGTCTTTTGTTGGGTATATGAGAGTCAACATCTACCCCTTCACAACTCATGGGCATTATATGTCAGGACAGGCTGTAACCCACTTCCGCTTCAGATGGGGAATGCAAGGCTCAGAGAATCCGGCAAGTGCCGGGGTCCTTACAGGAATAGGAGCAGAGCTGGAGTGGGCCCAGGTCTCTTGACGTCTAATCTCGTATGTATCACTCACTTCCAAAACTTCCTCTTCCCTCAAAGCCCTGCTCCCAGAATGGATGTGTCACCGGCTATTCATGGTCTGCATGAATTAAGTCTTAAAAGCCTAGGGACACTTACTTACACACTAAACCTGCTTGCTAACCATAACGTAACTAAGGAATTCGCAGGGCGGCTGGCACATGCCACAAACTGCTTGAAGCATCTGCTACATCACATCTGAGCTCCCCCGGGAGAGGTGCTATCACCCTACCACATCCCACGACAGAGACATGCTTGCCTAAGATCTCACAGCGAGGGCGTGGCTGTCATCAGTGGCCCTGAAACAAGTCTGTTCAACTGGAAAGTCCACGATCTCATCGCTAACCCTCGTGGCCTCCTGAGCACAGGCGTGGCTGGCCATGAAGGGGGCTGGTGCCACCCTGCCCGCCTCCCTCCCTCCCTCTGCCCCCACTTAGGAGCAGCCTTCCGCCACTCAGAGAAACAGACGGGCCACACACTGCCCCGAGCAGCATCCGCTGCCCTCTCCAGGGGCTGGGTACTTCCCGGGGTGACCCACACCTTCTGTGTGGGGTCCCGCACGCCGGTCGTCATGTTTCTGGAAGCTCGTGCAAGTTTAAGTCCGGTGCAGTTCATCAGTCGCTGTGTCTCATCTGTCAGAGTTCAGGCGGATGGCACAGCGTGGAGAGCTCCGAAAGGGTGCCTGCCCACCCGGCAGCCTCTGCTCAGGGTCTGCTCTGGTGTGTGTCACTCGGGCTCGCAGGCTGCAGGCCAGAGTGACACGGCTGACAGCGTCCCAGGGACAGACCTGGCCCCTGGAGATGGAGGCCGGGCCCTGGCCTGGGGCGTCGCAGCGGGATCTGCGAGGATGCTGTCACAGGTGGGCATGGGCGCTTTAGGCGCGGGATGGCCGAGAACCTGGGAGCTGGGTGCGGGGCCCGGGGCCGGTGCACCGAGCGGCGTGCAGTCTGCCGTAGAGGGGCGCCCTGCGCCCGCCCACAGGTCCGGCCTGCAGCCCTGCCCGCACGGCGCTGCACGCCCGGGACCTGCGGTTCGAGTCCCCGCCGGCGCCGACTCAGCGCGCCCCCCGCCTGCCCTTCCCTTTCTGTCCGTCCTGGGCGCCGCCGAGCCGAAGCGTCGCAGACTCGGGGCCCGGGGTCCCCCTGGGCGCCCCAACACCCACCCCGCCTGCTTGCGGGGAGGGGCGGGGCCGGCGTCCGCAGCGCGCGCCCCTCCCCCCTGCGCCGCCCGGAGCGCGGACGCGCACGAGCGCGCTCTCACCTGGCCGCTGCGGGGACGCTCCGCCCCGCCCACCACCGGGCCAATCAGAGGCGGCGTAGGCGGAGGGGGGCGACGCGCGGGGCGGGGCCTGCGCAGCCTGCGGGGTGAGCCGAGCCGAGCCGAGCCGAGCGGGTGGCGGAAGGCGGCCGGCTTCGGCTTCGGCTTCGGCAGAGGCGGCGGCGGCGGCTGAGGGAAGGCGACGCGGCACGCGGGGCGGCGCGACCGGACGGGCGAGGGCTGGCTGCGCGGCTCTCGGCAGCCGCAGCCGGACCGCAGGGCGCCGCGGCGGGTGCGCGGCCTGTGAGGCGGCCGGAGCGGCGTCCTGTCAGGCGGCGAGGGCGCGGCGGACGGCGCCGCGATGATGCCGGTGGGTGCGGGCGGCGGCGCCGCGTTCCCGGCCCCCACGCGAGGCGGGCTGGGCAGGGAGGAAGCGGCGGGCGGGCGGGCGGGCCAAGGGGCAGGTGGGGGCGGCGGCTGTCAGCCGGCGAGCGGCGGCGGGCGTGGGCGGGGTCCGCCGAGCTGCAGGCTGCGCGGGGCTGCGGCGCGTTTGCCCCTCCTGGCGAGCCACCCGTGCCTCGGTTTCCTCTCGGCGCCCTGGGAGCCCGCGGCGACATGCACCCGGCTGCGGCGCTCCCACGCTCGGGACGCACGTTCCCGTGCACCGGGTGGATCGCACGCCGTGCGTGGATTCGGAGAGCCATCTTAGGCATCCCCCGGCCGCGGCTTCCCCGTGGGCACATTGGCTCCACCTGGCGTGATGTCCCCGTGGCCGGAAGGTTGAGCCTTTTGTCCGGCTCTCAGGATGCTTTTGGGCCAGAAAGTCGCTCGTCTTTGGGGTTGCCACCCTCCCTGCCTTTCCTTTACCTGCGATCCGAGCGGCGCCGGATGCTGAGTCCTCGTTTTATTTATTTATTTTTTAAATAGGCTTTTTGTGAAGTATTAACGTCGTGATTAATGAAGAAGACGTGAGATGGGCTGTACCTAGTTTGGACGTGTTGTTTTTTGATTGTCTATCGAGTAAAATTCTTAGACGTAAAGTGGCACACAATCTTTTCTGTTGTTCGTTTGTTTTCAAAGTGCTGGGGCTAGGCCAGTGTTCTACCGCTGAGTTTATATATGTACACACACACACACACACACACACACACACACACACACACACACACACACAGAGAGAGAGAGATAGAGTCTGCGTGAAAGATCACGTTTCAGAGGTAAAGTGCAGAATACTGGCGTTCTGCTATTCTTGCGCCCAAGCTCGATAACTCATGTACCCCCCCTTTCCAATAATTTCCTGTTTCTTGATAATCTGTTCTCCCTTTTTGAACTGATGTTTGTGGAGTTTTAAGATCTGACCTGCTTGATCCTTAAATCCTTTGACGTTAGGCTTGTTAATGGGAAGAGCATTACGTGAGCTTCAGAAGATCTGGGGTCAAGTAATTGTTCTGGTACTTTTTTTTTTTTTTTTTTTTTTTGAGCAATGTGACCTTTAAAAGAGTTGAGGTCTGAGCCTTGAAATTATCTGTAAAATAAGGATTTTTAAAAAACCTGTCAGTATTGAAGTGTGATCCCGAAGATCAACCAGGATGTGTTTCAAAAGTGTTAAACAGAATGTCATGCCTTATTTTAATATTGTTTTGAGTTTCAATTTGTAATTTTAATCTCTTTAAGACATACTTAAGCAACTATTTCTTCCTTTTTCTTCCTGGCTGAATGTTGTGGAGGTATTGTATTTTGGTATTTTTTAAGCAATTTCAGCTAAGACTGGGCACTGTAATAATATTGAAGATTATCAAATATTTGACAGTTTTTATCATTGTGTAGTGTTTAGTTATAAATGCACTGTTAGGTAATCTGGATTACTTTTTCCATATGTTACTTCAAATATTTTACTTCTATCCAGGTGATTGGAGTTTCCATTCTATGGTCTATGCTAATAGTTTTTGTTTTTAGGAAGTTTGTCTAGCATGGGGATTGAGATAGTATTCTAAAAACTCAAATAGTGAATAGTGGTTTTTTTTTTTAAAGCAGATCTTTTATGAATTTAAGATACTTTGAGAAACAAATGGTAGTTTTCTTAATACTTCTCTTGTGTCTTTTACTTATGTATTTCCTTCGTTATGTCTGAAAACATGACTTGGGGATTGAGTCCTCCCTCTGTTAATACAGGTGTAGATGCCTGTAACTTTAGAACTTTTAATAACATGCCTTTCTTTCTTGATGATATTACACTATGTATCCAAAGTGGAAATGTGATTTTCTGGCTTTACTGTGTATTTGGTGTCTGTCATCACGGTGAATCATCAAAGAAAGATTGGTTTTTATTTGGTGGTTGTACAAAGCAGCAGACTGTTAGAATATGTAATACACACATGGATCAAATGCAGTTTAAAATATCTTAGTTAGGGTCAGGTGTGATGGCTCATGCTTTTAATCCCAGCACTCAGGAGGCAAAGGCAGGTGGATCTCTGTGATTTTTGAGGCCAACATGATCTACATATTGAGTTCCAGGATAGCTAGGGCCGTTACACAGAGAAACCATGGCTCAAAAGCCCCCTCCACCAATAAATAAAATAACTTAGTTATTATAAAAGTATTTATCTTCATATCTTTTTGTTAACCGAGTTTTTCTGAATTCTAATTTTTAAAATTACATTTATTTGTTTTGTGTGTATATGCACAGTACCACTATTAAGTATGCAGTCCAGAAGGCGACTTAACAGAAGACTATCTCCTTCTACAAAGTGGATCTCTGGGATCAAACTCAGGTGGTCAGGCTTAATGGCAGGTGCCTTCACCCACTGAGCCATCTCACTGGTCACTTGAACTATAATTTAAAAAATCCATCCCTAAGAAGAGTCACCAGTGAGATGGTGGGCTTTTTTGTTGTTTTTCACAATTGTTTACACAATGGACTATTATTTAGCTGTTAAGAAAAATGACATTCTGAAATTTGCACATAAATGGATGGAACTAGAAAAGTAAATCATACCGAAAGAATTAACCCAGGCCCTAAAAGACACATATTGTGTGTTTTTTCTTCTATCTGGATGTTGGCTTTAGTCTTTTGAGGTGTATGCTAGAATCCACAGAAGTTGCACCCGGAGGGAGGGAGGAGAGGCTCTCCCGAAGAAGAGGAAATAGAAGGTAGTACTGTGGAGGAGGATTAAAGGGAGGGGAAGGCCGGAAAGGTAGAGCAAGGAATAGGGAGAGTAACCACTAACACTAAAGGCCATTTGAAAAACCATATGGAAGCTTCCTAAAACACAGACACTCATGAAAGGAGCCTAAATAGAGTCACCAAATAAAAGGGGAGACAGTGCTCCAGCTAGACATCTTACGCCACCAAGTAAGACCTCCTGTGCCAGGAACAGGCTACATCTTGTTTAGTTGTTGGCCAAAGTTACCCAATGGAAACCCCCAAACATCACAGGCTATTGCTAAGGCTTTTCATTACTCTCCACGATTAGATGGTAAGGCCCTATTGCTGAAGACAACACTTATGTCATAGAACATGGAAAAGTTGAGCTGGAGCCTGACTAGAAGCTTTACTCCTACTAACAAACATTCATGGTACTGGGAGGTACTCTGCATGCTACTGGAAAAGAAAGGTAGCCATCAGTATCACCTGACCTCAATCCCTGTGATCTGTAATGGTGACCTGCCTGCAAGATATACTAGTGCAGTAGTGGCCCAAATGTTATGGGGGTAACCACCCACTGGCACCCACACCTGACGCTGCTAAAGTGGCCAAGGACCTGAGACTGGGTTAGGTCATAGGCCTAGGGGAAAACTTAACTATTGTTCTGTTAAAGGAACAGCAATATATGGACTTCTAATGACATAATGCTATATGCATAGATCAGTGGCTCACTCAACCCACATAAGGGAAGCTTCTTTTTGTAGCTGGTGGGAATTAACACACAACTGGACAGTGTGCATGGTGAGATGGAGACATTATAGTACCAGATCCTGAGTGGGATCTCCCCATTAAACCCTTCCAGAGGTGATGGACAGCACCAAGGGATAGCTGTGTTCCAGACAGCAGGGCTGGTGTACGTTTGGACTCACAGAGACAGGCAGCCGACAACGAGGCCTCTATAAGTACACACCACAGGCCCCATGCTCAGTAGTCAGCCAGTTCAAAACAAGTTCAGAGTGTTTTTGTGAATAATTCTTCTTCTTCTTTTTTTTTTTTTTTTTGGTATTACTGGTCTTTTGCTTGATGTTTTTGTGAGTGTGTGTGTGTGCATGCATGCGTGCGTGTGCGTGAGAGCACACTTGCACATACTTTTGTTATTGAAAGAAAAGAACGGAGCTGGGTGGATAGGATAGAGAGGTGGGAAGGACATGAGAGAAACTGGAGGGGAAAACACGATCAAAATACAGTTTTTGAAAACTTACTTTCAACAAAAAAATGCATTTCCTAACCCTGCCCCCAAAGGTAGTTTTCCTAAGAGGCTGGAGAGATGGCTTACCTGTTAAAAACACTGGCTGCTCCTCTAGAGAACCAGATTTGATTCCCAGCACCCATGTACAGCTCCCGGCTGTCACTCCAGTTTCATGAGATCTTAACACCCGTTTTAGATCTCTGTGGTTACCAGGCATGCATTTAGTACATAGACATGCATGCAGGCAAATACACACCTAAACGAAAAACAACAACACTTTTTTTGATGTTTGCCTAAGGGAAAGGCAATTTAAAGAATACCCTAAGATCCATTTGGGCCTGCTAATATTTAGGCCGTACCTATACATCTTCAGTAGAAATAAGAATATTTAGTTAAAAATGGAAGCCTTGTTTATTAGAGCGTGGAGCAGATGAAAATGGGCATCGTTGTGTCTGTGGAAAGAGTGATATTTGGGAGCTGGTAAAGCTTTTTAAAGAGATGGAGTATAGAAAGGGAATGGGACTAGGCTGCTTTCCCCGTTCCAAAGGAAGCTAACAGGAAGTGTTGCAGTTTGAAGTGTGTTGTGTTAGGAGGATGCTTTGGTGATGTTAGTCCTGGGGCTCCATGCCTCTGCTGAAATGCCCCTTCTGACTACCTGGTTCTGTTGAATCTGCTCTTAGGAACCCTTTCAGCATGCTTACTGTAAGGTATGGGTTATGTTCATTTGTGGTTTGTTATATTTATCTCTCGTTAAGCATTTCAAGTTTTCAGTGAATGTTTTTTTTTTTTTAATTTTTCTTCCCAACTATGTAGAACTATTTTAAGGTACAGAATAAGTCTTTCTGCTTGTAAACTATCTGACACACAGATGACAGAACCCTGAATGGGAAATACAGGGTTTTAACTCTCCACTTGGTAATTGTGTGACCTTTAGACCTCAGCTTCTCGTCTGTCAAATTACTTGGACTTGATAATT